TTAAAAACCAAAATATAATACTAAATATTATACAATTGATTTTTCTTAACCAAAATGACAAAAATGGCATAAAAACACATATTATTCTAATACGGGTCCTTTTAGCCCCATTTATGGAATAGTGTAGTGTCACTCGTGCATCTAAGGGTTAAAGACTTGATTTACAGAAATGTTTAATTATATCGGAATATAAATAAATAGATATGAAACTATATTACTTCAACCAGGTAATGTGGTAAGTACGGGATACAAGATGCCACTCGCACATATGTATACTCCTTATGACTTGCTTGTATTGTTTTAAAACTGTACATATATATTTTGACTTGTACATTTTTATGGAATTTTATTTTTTATATTGTATTTTATATTCGACCTCTTCCTGCTCTCTACTCTGGATAATTTCCTCGGGATACAAATAAAACATTTCTGAAATGTGTTTGACAATAATATGTATTTTGTCTTAAAACAAAGTACACTTTTCCACAGACTTAACATTGAATAATGTAAATGTTAAAAGCAAAATATATTATTTTACTGCATTAAGTTGCAAAGTTTTAAAGTGAAACCATACGTGATAACCATGCAGGTGTTAGAGAGAGAGAGTCAAGCTGTGAGTGTTTTATTTTAAGCAGGGACTCCATCGTTTAGAGAAGTGAAAACATGTTGGTTTGCCGGTGAAGAAGAAAGAGAGGCAGCGTTCAACCATCAGAGACTTGAACATGCACGTCTGCCACAGTTTGATCTTCTTCGTTCTCAGTGAGTACACTTTGTAGTTCTGTCAACATGCTCTCTTGGATCTGAAACTCTAGGGTTCATTAACTTGCTTTTTCTGGAGATTTCAACATCGTATAACAATCTTATGGTTTGTTCAGTTGTCATGGAGAAGTGCAATGTTTTAGTTTTTCATAATTGCAAATAAGTTTTAAATAATGTTGCATTGACTTAAAAGATTTGACATTAACTAATGTTTTTCGAGAGACAGAATATTCCAATTTAAACCTGTAAAAGCTTCTAGTTTGACTGAATTTATGAACAGTTCATTCAACTCTGTTCTGCTTCATATATACGTTGTAGTGCCGAGAGACGGGAGTCGGTGTAACGAAGGTACAAAGTTGGCTTTATTGAGCAGCAGAAACACACATGTAGTCGGCTTCAAGCCCGGGAAGAGAAGGGAAGAAGAAAGGAGGGCACAGAGTAGGTACAGTCAACATATGTGTCCGTGCGGAACAATACCCCCAACCCGTAGTTCCATGAGTGAATTATGTCAATCAGTGATCACTACACAAGCCCCCCCAGAATTCAACCATGGACACAATCCTCGCGTCCGGGAGGAAGCACCACAGGTGCCGAGGAGGGTGGGGCCCAGGGTCGGCTCTAGAACAAATCGAATGGGGGGGAAATCATTTACCAAGGGGGGCACACACTGCCGTCAACAACCAACACACAAACACCAACGCAACTTCAATTTAAAAAACATGCTGTAAAGTCTATTGTCTTTCACACACATTGCAGGGGTGCAGTGCTATTGTATAGCGCACCTATATGACTTGTGCATACATGCATGGTTGTGGCACGACCACCAAAACAGAAACATATAAGGACAGAGGGTGTCGTTTCTCATACTGATATTCTGCACAAACTGTGCTGTTGTATTTGCTGTAAAGTGTCTTTACTGTAGGTCATTTTTTATTATATGTACAGCACTTTGGCTCGACCAAAAATCGTTGAAAAATGTGCTATATAAATAAAACTTGATTTGATTTGATGTGGACATAGGCCACCATATAAAAAGTGTGCAAATGTATTTAGTATCCTATCCATGTGAACATGTTTAAGTGGGTGTGGACCTAATCTCCTCTAGGAGGGTCTGGGGGTATTCTCCCCCGGGAAGATTATTTTTAAAATATTGAAGTTAAATGCATCAATCTGGTGCACTTTGAGAGCAAAATGAAGAGATCTATGGATAGCCTACATCTCTCATCCATATGAAACAGAACTGTACACAGATTTACTTTTTCTTTATGGATATTTTACTAATTATTCCCTTTTAAACTGTATTCTTGTGTTACTGTCCTATAGTATTTCATACCCGTTTTTCATTTATTCTCTCTTTAATAACTATAATGATCATATAAAGGTATTCCTCGAAAATACTTACATAAATGGTGACCAAACCGTTTGAGACCCACTGAGATAACTTACCTAAAGTGAACTATCTAAACACTGAGAGAGTCCTTACCTCACTGAGCTGAGGTTATACGATCCTCACAGCCTGACAGGAGAGGACTCTCCTCCACCTTGGTGTAGAAAACAGCCCTTTATATCCGTTAGCATAGCTAGCTAACAACAAGATGCTAACAACAACATTCCACGTTACCAAGCTCGCCGCACTCACAAAATGCGCTCCTGCCCCACACACACACAGAGCCAAGCTTGAATGAACACAGAGACCCATGTACTTGTACTGTACTGTATATCATATTGTTTTCGATGGCTTTACTGTATAATCAGTATAACAGATGAACAGATCGCCACTGGGCTTTCATCTAACCCCGCCACGTAATGATAACAAAAAAAAGGTCAGGGGTCATTGGTCAGCAACACACCATCAAGAGCAGCAGTGATCACACCTCAGTCTGTGTTTTTATATTTGTATTCTTTATTTCTGATGTATTTCACACAAAAAACCTTTAGTGGAAACGTTTTTCACTTATATGATTAAAAAAAGAAAAAACGGCAAATGGCAAGGCTTGCCAACCCTGCGTTGGGGGGGCCAGTGACTCATTTGGGGGGCATGGCCCGCGAATGACCCCCCATGACGCCGACCTGGGCCCGCAGGAGCGGGCCGTCGAACGGGGGCCGCAGGAGCGGCAGGGCCCCAACGAGGGCGAGGGCATCCCCACCATGGAACGGGCCGTCGTAAGGGGGCCGCTGGGGCCGCAGTAGGCGTTGAGGCGAATGAAAACAACATCCGCCAACCGTAAAGCTGGGTCGCTGTGCTGCGACGTGGGGATGGGCGTGAATATCCCGGTGGTCCCCAGCAGGAAGGAGCACTGCCCGGCCACAGGCGAGGGCACAGCGGCGGCGGCACGAAGTCCTCGGGAGGAAGGAGCGGTATCCCCCGGAGGAAGGGGCCTTGGATAGGGGGAGAGGCCAGACGGGGTCCAGAAGTTCGCCACCCAGGCGCCGATGAAAGCGTTGGCAACGTCCGACACTGTCGAGGCGAGGGAGACTGGTCCAGAAGTCCACCACCCAGGCGCCGTTGAAAACGTGGGCGACATCCCAAACCGCCGTCGAGGTGGTGAAACAGCGAGAGGGTCCCACACGAGGTCGACCACACATGGTCGAACCTCCTCTCAGGCACTGGAAAAAGCTCAAAAGGGTCGTCCTGTCCACGATCAAAAACAGGTAGATGAAATAGTGAGAGGAGCCACACGAGGTCGACCAGACCTCCTCTCCGGCACCCAAAAAAAGGGTTAAATCACATATTTACACACAAATTATTTTTCTGTTCACACACATAATTATGAGACATATCTATGCCCATATGAACGTATCTCAAAACGTTTATTTTCTACATCTTCTAGAAACATATTTTCGCCCACGTTACATTTGTTATGAACGTATCTTAAATACGTTTATTT